CTCCTCTGTGAGGGCAGATCTGCACATCCCCCCCCCCTGCAATAGCTAGCAATCCAAAACAGTCCAGTGGAGCCTGAGAGGTGGGTGTTGCCTTCTGACACACTTCCTGTGATGTCAGGGGGTGTGGCATATGCAAATAAGTTATGCTAATGAGTTATGCTAATGAGCTCCTGCACCTCTTTTTCTACAAAATGACCCCTGGGAATGACGAATATAGACCAAGCAATACAGAGGATTCAACAGGTTCCCACCACCACCACCTGTGAGCCAATCGGCCCGTTTCCCGCGGGCGGGAAAGAATGACCGATGGTCGAGGCTGAGAAACAAAACTAGTCTCGCGGGTAATTAAAGTGGAGACACTACACAGGGCGGGCTACACAGGCAGGAATACAAGGTCAGCGATGACGAGGAGAGAAGCAAGAGGGAAGGGATGCGGCACCAACTTGGACACAGGTCAGGCAGGCGAACTCTGGGCCTATAAACCATACGGCAGCCTAGCTGACAATACCCAGTATCAAACGTTGTTGGTCTTCAAGGCGCCACTGGACTCAAACTTTGTTCTGCTGCTTCGGACCGACCCGGCGACCCGGCTGCATCTCTTAGAGTGATACATAACCTCATTCCCTGACATTTTTTGGTTGGCTTTGCCTCCTGAGGCAGCCGTTTTATAGCTGCACCCCATGCCAGAACTCCAAAGGTGCCCGCAGGCTCAAGAAGCTTGGGGAACCCTGATCTAGACTCTAAGCAAGACAGAAGATACTACCAGTGTGCACACAAGAAACAACAACAAGAAGAAGAGATTGGATTTATAGCCCGCCCTTCACTACCCAAAGGAGTTCCAGCAGGGCTTACAACCTCCTTTCCCTTCCCCTCCCCGCAACAGACACCCTGTGAGGGAGGTGGGGCTAAGTGCCCTTGAGAGAACAACTCTGAGAGAACTTGTGACTGACCCAAGGTCACACCAGCAGCTGCAAGTGAAGAAGAAGAAGAGATTGGATTTATACCCCGCCCTTCAGTACCCGAAGAAGTCTCAGAGCGGCTTACAACCTCCTTTCCCTTCCCCTCCCCACAACAGACACCCCGGTAGGTGGGGCTGAGAGAGCTCTAACAGAACCTGCTCATTTTCAAGAACAGCTCTGGCAGAACTATGGCTTGCCCAAGGTCATCCAGCAGCTGCAAGTGGAGGAGTGGGGAATCAAACCCGGCTCTCCCAGATTAGAGTCCGCACACTTAACTAGTTTCACTTTTTTTGTTTTGCTTTTTGTTGTTGTTGTTTCTAACAAGGAAAACGCCGTCTAATCTCCTTACTTCAAATTGAAATCCTTCTTTGAGCGCGATGGCCTTCAGGATTTTAGAGGAGACCGTGGTTGCCAGCATGTAAACATTCTTGACGTCGCTGCCCTTGGAGCGGTTCTCCTGCCAGCAAGTAAACATCCACCACCCAAACAGAGCGGCCAGTTCATTGCCGGTGAAGACTTTCCAGCGGCCGCTGCGGAAGTGAGAAGAAAGGGGAAAGCGTCAGGCAATACAAAGGAATGAGCAGTTAGCTCCAAGACACAGAAGAGCTAGATTTGAACACAGCAGCAGCTTAGAGATCAACGAGACTTTAGAAGATAAGCTTTTGAGCGTCAAAGCTTACTGGCTCAGATAGTGGGCAGAAACAATTTCGGCTGGCAGAAAGACTCCCACATGTCAATTTTGACAGTACCAGCAGATTCGGCCAGTCCAATGTCAATTTCGGTCCCATTATATCCTATGGGCCATTGAAGTCAATGGAGAAAACATAGGGTATATTCTGGGGGCTGGAGGGGAGGGGGTTTGAGGGAGAGGCTCCAAACTCGCAGGGTAGCTGCTGGAGCCTCTCCCCAAGATACCAACCAAGTTTGAAGAACACTGTTACTTTTTCCCATCATAGAGAACAATGGAGGGAATGGGGGCAACCTATTTGGGGGCCCGTAGAATTGGAACCCCTGGTCCAATGCTCTTGAAACTTGGAGGGTATCTTGGGGAGAGGCTCCAGCAGCTACCCTGCAAGTTTGGAACCTTTCCCTT